GATCCACAAGGCAGGAGCCCACAACATCCCAAACAATTATCGACCAATAACAGTTCTACCTGTTTTTGCAAAAATATATGAGATTGTTCTAAAGTCAAGATTGGTAAAATATCTATACGACATAGAATTTATAAGTAACAAACAAAACGGGTTCCTCCAAAAGAAAAACACCCTTACAGCAATAACAAATATATTTGAATACACATACAAGGAAATAGACGATAAAAATACAGTAATGGCTGTTTTTCTTGACCTATGTAAAGCCTTTGATGTTGTAGATCATCAAATTCTTCTTAAAAAAATGGAACAACTTGGAATATAAGGACCAGCTCATCATTTATTTACTAACTACTTAACAAACAGAATTCAAATGACAGTTGTGAACGGAGTGGAAAGTGAGAAACTCTTGGTAAAAAGTGGAGTCCCGCAAGGCTCGGTTTTGGGACCGGTACTGTTCTTAATCTATATTAACGACCTCTGTGATAATAGTTTATGTGGCAAAATAACTTTGTTTGCCGATGACACGGCACTGTTCTACTCTGGTAGGCTAGGGGATGTTTACAAAAAAGCTCAAAAGGATCTGGATCAAATATGCCAATGGACTGACAAAAATCATATAAAGTTGAACGAAAACAAATGTAAATATATGATCTTTAACCCAAAGGAAACAAATAATAATCTATCACTTGAAATTTATAACATTGAAATAGAGCAAGTCAAACATATGAAATACCTTGGGCTAACTATTGATGATAAACTAAATTTTGGACAACACACTGAGAAATTATGTAACAAGTTGAGAAAATTAAGCTATCATGTCAGAAAATTCTCATTTAGATTGAATACAAACACAAAATACCTAATCTACAACGCTCATGTTAAGTCTCATCTAAGCTATTTAACACAATTTTGGGGGAGGGCAAGAGAACAGGATCTAGATAACCTACAAGTAGCACAAAAAAGACTTATAAAAACTCTCTTTAACAAATTTAACCCTACTAATACCAAACAATTGTATAGTGAACTAAAAATAATGAATATACGAGAAACCACAACATACGAAAGTATCCTTCTGGTATACAAAATAAAGAATAAACTCCTTGAAACCGATATAAAACTTACACAT